CCACAACCGGATGGTGTGGTCTTTCGAACCAGTCACAATGCGAGTTCCGTTCGGCGAAAATGAGACAGAATAAACAGAATCAGTGTGTTCTAATACCTGATCAACTGGGTGGCCTGTTGCTACATCCCACAGCCGAACAGTCTTATCTTCCGATCCAGACACGATGCGAGTTCCGTCAGGCGAGAATGAGACTGACCTAACCCAGTCAGTGTGCCCTCGGAATGGCTCACCAACAGGTTGGCCTGTCGCTGTATCCCACAGCCGGACAGTCTTATCATCGGAACCAGTCACGATTCGAGTCCCATCCGGCGAAAACGAGACTGAGTTTACCGAATCAGTGTGCCCACTGAGCACATTCTGAACAACTGGCCACTTCACATTACGTCCAGATGCCAGATGAAGAGTATTCGGAAATGTTGAAGCAAATTTTGATATAGCGGATTCAGTGGGTGAGAACGGCAGAGCTGATAGGTATAGATGTGGCGTGCTGTGTAAGATGATGTTTCCGAAGACTTGAATAAATCTCTGCACGTCTATAGCGGTGGATGAAACATCTTTGTACTCGTCACGGCTCTACCAGTCGCGTGAGCGCACATATAACATCTCTTGGTAACCATGTACTCACCTTCAGCCACTGAACGATGAGCGGCAGGGCAGTAACTACACCACTCAACGCATCAATGAGGGCGAGTGCTTCAAGCCAAAATAGTAGTCGCTCATGGTCGAAGAATAATTTGACTTGCTGTGCGAGCTCCACGTCGAAGTCTGTTTTTCGTACGTGCGCAAGCCAGAATCGACAGGAATATGATAGATGTGGGGGAATGTATCTTTCAATTCGTCCTGGAAGCTCCAGGTCTTCGCAATTAGGATAATACGAAGACTTTAAATCACAGATATTGAAGGAAAGGCCATCTTGCATCACTCGAAGTGATGCAAAAGCGATGTCGCGCTGCACCTTCGACTCGTCGATGAAAAAATCCCCACTGCATGATTGGTCCGTCAGAAAGTCGCGAAAGGATGCGTGAAGAGGTCGAATAGGGGTAGATGAGTTGGTAGTGCCGCTGAGGAGGGATCCCATATGTTCGACCACCACCTCCACCTTGTAATGTTCGTTTTGGTCTGGAAAACGGCTTCGTATCGCATTCAGGGACTCTAAAGGGAGAGGTTCAGCTGCACCGAGGATTTGTCCCATCACAGAACGAAACCTCGCTAGCCGTGTTTTCTGAAAGTCGGCATTTACGTATTTGTCTTCTCGCATGATCTCTGACAATATGAAATCATACATATCATACAACAAGTGTTCCCGTGTGGCCGCATCACGGGACACCACATTTATGAAGGAATCCATTGGAGAGAAGCCAGCAGGGGGTGCTTCGATAGACTCGCAAGCGAGACGTGCCCACTCGAAAAGTCCATCTGCTTTCTTAGCGAGGGCTTCAAACTTTTCGCTCCCAAAATCCGACAGCCCTTCCAACTTCTTCGACACGTACGCATAGATGTCGCCCTCCGTGGTGGCTGGTGGAATGTCGTCCATGGATATCCGTTCAATATGCTGAGCACCTGCAAATGCAGCTTCTATGTCACGGAGCGGGCGAGAGGTGACAATGATTCGAAGGTTTTTTGGGAGTTCCGTGATTTGGGGAACAGCTGCGTCCTGAAGTTTACCGGCAAGAATACGGAGAAGATCGCTTCGTGTTTTTACTGTTTTACCACTTTCGTCCAATGCGTCGATCACGATCACGAAAGGTCCTGTGGTCGACTCAGGGAGCTTCCTTAGCGGTTCTATCAGAAGCTGTTGCCATTGCTGGACGATGTCTACTGTGGTCTTGAGCGCATTGGCATTCTGGACTGCGTCCGCCAATGCCCGTCTCATCTCCGGGTTACGGTCAGCGAGGTCGCGCGCGATGGTGGAGAAAACCTTGTCATGACGATATTCGGCATTTCGATCAAAGCAGTAACAAGAACCAAGTCCCCCCACTCCGATAAACGAGCTAGCGATGGTATGGGCAATGGCTGATTTGCCTGTCCCAGCGGGGCCAGATAGCCACAGTACACGCGGAACATCATCTTTACTGTCGTTGATCCATCCCATGATCTTGGAAAGAATATCCGTTCGCGTCCCTGGTAGGCATTGCTTCCTGGTATCGAGTCCTGCACCCGCTGCATAATTTATGCCACTGAGGTTCAATTCGTCATCTGAAGAGATATAAATGAACATCAAATCAAAAGTACGTCCGAATCCTTACTCGTACGGTGAACGACGATGGCTACATCCCGAAAGGTCTGGTCTCGAGCATTTTGCATGAGCGCATCTAGCGCATCGTTGTACTGTTGAATCGTGGCATTCGTTTCAGAAAGAACATTCTTTTTCAGTCTCTCCCCTACAACAATAGTACAGGGATCAGAATCAGCAAATCGTGCAATAGGCTGTAGATGGCCTACAAAAGCTCTTAGTCTCCGAATAATCCCTGATAAAATGAGCACACTGAAGTGTTTGCTGAGATATCTGTCCAAGGACAGTGTGCATCGACGATATCTGGTGAAGTGTCTTGTCTTCTGTCATGAAGCCGTAAACTTGACCCAACTTCCGGAGAAGGCTAAGTACAGCTTCATCGCGATCCGCTTGAGCAAGAACAATCTGTACAGGTAACTATTGAGCTTGAGATGGGAATGAGAGCGAAACTAAACATACTTTCGACGCACAAGATAACACGCCCAAAGCCATTTTTGCATATGGATGGACCTACGAAAGTGGGATTAGTGCGGTCCCGATAGAGAAGAAGGGCTCATACATCCGCGAGTGTCCCAATAACAGAGTCGAATATCTTAAGGGGTTTGAGATATGTGGCCTCGAAATTATCTGTCTTGTCAAGATCCGCCAGTCCATTTTGGCCTTCAGACGCTACAAATCCTGGAGGTCCCAGACGCGTATTCATCTGATCTGCAGCATCACGGGCATTCCGAAGTGCCGTGTACACCAATTTGGGATCAGTACTTTGTTCTAAAACAGGAGGGGCATCCTGAACCTGTACACAACCAGACGTTAGGGAGTGTGCAGAAACGGAGAGACGACCTTCCTCGATATTCGGAATTGACGAAGCACATTCACGATTAATTTTCGGTAGAACATGGTCACGGCTGCTAGAATCCTTCAAGTTCGAGGGTTTGTGTACGATCTCAGCCATATACCAGTACAACTTAGTATCTCAACTCACAATCTTCTTGAATGGTACGCCGTTCTTAACCTTCTGCAGAAACCGATGGATTTTGTTTTGGGGTCCGGCCTGAGCAAATCGTGTATCGGAGTCAGCGTTTCAAGTGTGATGGACGGGTAATTACGCACAGAGCTTTCACCAGCTATTGCTTCGCTGTATGTGGGGATTCGAGATGGGATTGCCCTCGAATTCCTCGACTGATTGGTACGGTCTTTTGACATAATGAATAGAAGCTGAAGTTGAGAATCAGTGGGGGGCTCCGAGCGAAACAATAGGTTGCAATGAGAGAATTTAAATCCCACGTCGTTCAAATTACGACGACCGTACTATGAATATTGACTGGCATCCCGCAGCGTTAAGAACGTTATTCTAAATTTAATTTAAAATCTACAACGTGCCGTCGTCAAATGTCAGTACTTCCGTATTTTGCAAGTCCCCATGTCAAAAACACCCAGTGATATCTAGAAGGGGGGCCCACATAGCGAAGGGGATACTGCCATGTGCAGTGGACGCCGGGATGTGGGAACAGTGGAATATCCAGGTGTAGATATGCTTGGAGCGGATGTAGTATATAGCTGTGAGAAGCAGAAATTTTATTAGAAGAAAGTGATGAGATCCTATCAAAGGCACCGCGAATCTATAATTGGGGCATGTCACATGAAGACAGTCTATATATGCGTGGGAATTACTTCCCCGTATTGATTATTATCTTTGTTTGAATCAAGGTGCAAAGTTTACATAGGTCGAAGCCGTCATACTAGTACTCACGACTATGATTGTTAATTGATTTTGACTCTGTTGCGGTAATCACTTGGTTAAGCCAAGTTGGATGGACCTCTGAGGGAATCATCCATGAGTGAATGACATGGTGTGTTCTAATAGAAAAAAACACATCTCGTTCGGCAGATTTCGAACCTGCGCAGGCCAAGAGAGACAGATTTTGATTCCGTTCTGACAACCAGTTGGCTAAGACTAGTTAAGGTGAGGACCTGAGGAAATTGTCCATAAGTAAATATCAACGTGTGTTCCAATAGAAAAAGCACCTTGCTTTGGGCAGGTTTCCAACCTGTACAGGCAAAGAGAAGCAGATTTCGATTCTGTCGTGGTAACCACTTGGCTAATACCGTCTAAGATGAGCATGCGAAGAAGCCATCGATGAGTGAATGTCAAGGTATGTTGGATAGAAAAAAGCCTTTTGTTCGGCAGGTTTCTAACTTGCGCGAACGAAGAGAAACAGATTTTGATTCTGTTGTGATAACCACTTGGCTAGGACCAGTTAGGAGGAGCATCCGAGGAAACCATCCATGAGTGAATGTCAAGGTACATTCAGATAGAAAAAAACCTTATCGTCAGCAGGTTTCGATCCTGCGCGGTCCAGGAGACACAGATTTTGATTCTGTTGGCCACTGGACTAAGACCAATTAAGATACACCTCCGAGGAACTATCTATGAGTGTATCTTCGAGGAAAGACAAAAAAACTTGTGTTCTCAGCAGGTTTCGAACCTGCACTGGCACTGTCAGATTTAGATTCTGTTGTAGTACCCACTTTGGCCAGGACATTTTGAGATCAACCTACGAGGAAACCATCCATGAGCGAATCTTCAAGGCGTGTTCGGATAAAAAAACGCGGCTGTCAACAAGTTTCGCAGTCTAAGAGAAACAGAATTCAAGTCAGTTGTGGTGACCACTCGTCTAAGACCAGTTGAGATACGCTCCTTGAATGAAACCATCTATGGATCGATCAATGCCACTTGATTCCAGGTATGTTCAAATAGAAAAAACCTTGTCCTCTGCAGGTTTCGAACCTGTGCAGCCCAAGGGAAACAGATTTCAATTCTGTTGCGGTGACCATTTTCCTAAGACCAATCGACATAAAACCCCAAGAATACTGAGTTAACAGGACCAGTGTGCCCCAACAAGAGCTTTCGACCGGCTGTCATAAGACCTCTCTAGAAATCCCCTGCGTCATTTTTGATGAAGTATCTTTGGCAATAGTCCTAGCTTGACAATGGTTTCGGGTAGTATGATGTCAGAGGTTTAAACTTTAGACACGCATTTGAATGAATTTTAGACGATGAGTCAACATCATGGGGTGTGGGATCCGGAATTCGAAGAGTATTTTGGGTTAACCGAACTTCCTTGATCTCGGATCTTTAGCAACCGCATCCCAATACGATAAGGGCCGCCTGTGTTCAGTACTTGTTCAACGTTGCAATGTTTTTACCTCAGGTCTGCTAGCTTCAGTGAGATTCTTGCGTGACGGCTTTGTAAAAGAACACCGTGGAACATGTTTATGACGTGAGATTGACTATGCATCAGATATGTAGATACAATCAACACCTCCACTAGTTCAGCGTGCAAACAGATATCGTTTGGATAAAAACCTATTTCGAGTGAGTGAGGTGGGTTTGGAGGAACGAATGCTGACGCTAATTTCCCTAAGTATCAACACAAAACGCGTTGGGGATGAGCGCCCAGGGCCAGTACGATATTACATCAATGTATGACTACTGTATCTTCATCCCCTGTCTTCATCTCTGGTTTCACTGTTCGTTTCTTCTTTGCTGTACTTGTTCCCTTCCTCTTCGCACGTGTGACTTTGATGGGTTCTGGAGTACTCGTACGTAGTTCGTCATCAGGAACTTCGTATGATTGGAAAGAAGGAAGAGAAGGTGGAGGCGTCGCGGTGCCGTCAAATAGGTTTGGAGTTTGGTGCCGTGAGGATGGCACGGGAGTTGACGATTGCGGCGTGATGATAACGCCCGCAGGCATCTCACCACCTCTTTCCACAACAAAGGATGGAAGAGTAGATCGCATGGACGTGCTACTTCTCAGTCCGGGAAGGCGGGGTTCCTCTGCAAGGGTGTCAGTCATGTTTATGTGCTTGGAGAGAAACATACCTTTTGGCAGTGGTAAGGGACCGTCTAGTCGGACAACAGGGATTGAATCAATGTCTGCTGCGGGAGGCTTTTGAGATCGGTCATCCATGATGTAGTATGGGTCATCCCGCATTCGTTCCAGCCGCTCGGCCTTGAGCTGCGGAAAGTTAGTCGCAGTGATACAGAGTTTATGGTCAATGCATACCCTCTCTCGTTCAGCCTTTTCTTCAGCTGTCTCTTCTTCTTGCGGTGCAAGCTCCTCCTGGTAGTGCCCCTCCTTCTGCTTCTTCTTCCCGCTCTTAACCTTCATCCTGTTTGCAGACTCCTTATCCTTCCCTTTCTTGTTCCTCTTGACCTTCCGCTCAGTCACGTCACCGTCGTCGCCCTCTTCTGTAACGCGATCTTGCATTGACGGCACAATCCACGCGTCCAGATCAAGCCCTTCAGGAACGGGCACACTCGCTTGCGCGATGGACGCAACAGGATTAAGTTCGTGCGATGAGAAGAGTGGTTGAATAAGATAGAGACTCTTTGGAAAACTCGGTTCTGATACGGGGTCAAAGGCGGCTGCATTCGGGTCCGAGAACCCATTTTCCTGCTTTGGTTTGTACATTGCCACGTCGTGTTTGATGAAGATGAGCAGTTGACGAACGTTCGCAGCCTACAATAATGAATAGATCAATGTTCGAATGCTTGATTACTGTGATCCACGCCACTTACACGTTCTTGGACTTCGATCTGGGTGCTCGATGCAAATTGTTCCATCTGTTCAATCATAATATCGACGGCGTTCTTGAGATCTTCGAGGAAACTCTCTGTCCACTGCTTTGCCGCTTCAGAAGCCCAGTATCCGAAGAGCTTCGTGGCCGATTGTATGCACACGGCGGTTATGTCAGGCCTCAGAGACGCAATCTCTGGTTGGAGTAAGTAGGGAATAAGTTCGTCCGGTGCAGAAAGTTCGCTGTGGTACGAGCGTTCAGCACATCGTAAGGGAGTGAATTATTAGAACGCACCCGCAGTACTCTCCACATATCCAAGCCGCCGCCCACAGCACCTCGGAACAGCTACCCTGCTCACCCGCGTGTAGCAAGAACGTATCATCAGACAATACCTTCACCATTAATTTAACTGCATAGCTCCTAGCCGCTCTCACACGCCCGACAACGTCTACTAGTTGGTCGCGAATTTGCGTGCCAATATCGACGTTCGATACGTATGCGAGGTCAACGAGGACTGAGAGGTACCATTCAAAATCGATGACATTGTCATAGGTGTTTTGAGAACACATTGTCATGATCCTTTGTGACAGGACAAGGCGGTAGGCGGTGGACTGAGATGGTGCACCTGGGGACTTTGCAGGAGCAGACGGGATGATATGTTGAGATAGGGATTGTACTGCAGACGGAACGGCGGAGGATTCGGGCTTGACAAGATGCGACAACACCTGTTGTACAATTGATTGTAGATTGTCTCGATTGACCTGCAGAATTTGTATTATATAGGAGGAAGAAGTCTCACAGTAACTTACGAGTGCTGAGAGCAAATCTAGTGCACGCATACGGATGCTGATATCTTCATCGTCGACACTCGAAAGGATTGTATCCTGGTACTCTGCGACCAAATGTGGGTGTGTAGGTACAATCTTCACCATTGCAAGCAAGGCAATGTACTTCACTGTAGCTTAGTTAGTCGCACCCATCTGAAGAACAAATCAAATCACATACGGTTCTGATCTGGATCCTCGATGAATGCTGCGAGTTTTGACACACAGGTCCGCGCAAGCGAATCGCCAGTATTTCCCTGTAGCATATTACCGATGATACATGTGTGTACACACTCGTACAGAAGGGATATCGCGGACGTCGTGGATATGAGGTCAGTGATCGGTGGTTGCAGTTTCTTTACTAGCCGCGGTTCATGAGGCGAGAGAGAACCAAACTAATAAGAGTAAGCGGGCTCGTAAAAAGCAAGCGGTGTCCATACCAACTTGACGATTTTGATGAGCATCCAGTTGTTAGACGACGTTGTTAGGAGATGGAAGAGTTGCGGGGCGAGCGGAAGGTAGTCTTGGGGGTTTCTCCGGGCGAGCTCACACAAGACATTCACAGTCGCGCAAACTACACCTGGGTGTGTGCCTCGGTTAAACAGGCAGCTTGATATCGTCTAGCTTGGGCTGACCTGGATCAGAATCTTCTAGTTTTTCCTGCAATCGGCCAATACCATGACGGAGAGCATCGGGGTACTTCTGAAACACCCTGTACATAGCTGCAACTGCTCTCTTGCGTATGTGAGGTCGGGAGTGGTTGAGCATACCAACCAATTCAGGACTGAGGTCGCGTGCAAGGTCTGCAGTCATGATAGAAGAAACACCGTTTAGAGTGACTGCGATATCTGCAGGGTTTGAACTTAGATCCTGGATATAATTCAATGGCGTGTTTCACAGTAAAGGGCCGGGCTCACCTTCTTGAGCAAATTGGTAGTCAACATCAACACGTCCGTGTCCTCGCTGAATGACTGGACGGCACCAAGATATCCCACGCTCTTGATATGAATCTTGGGGGACGACATGACTTCTACGATGTGAAAGGAAGCCCAGCTCATGTCATATCCTAACATGTCCAGCTGCAAAAGAATGTCAGATTCAAAGCTGGTCAATAGTACGAGCAACGCACATATGTAAGTTTCATAACAGCGCCAGCCTTGAGCTCCATATCCTTGCTCTTGATTTCACGCCTGATCTCGTCCATGGCCTGTCCAATGAATTTGCTTTCATCATTCTTGTTGGCCCGCAAGCCACGAATGAGATCCTGGAGCGTGCGCTCCCACATGAAAATAATAGACGGTTATCAGCCTCGGAAAGTGTAAGGCAGATGTGTTGTTGAGCTTGACAGGTGCCCGTAGACGAACTAGACCGACAGATCACATGATAATCGTCAGCAAGTCCACTCTGACTTCTGAGTAATAGATACAAAGATCTCACAGAAGAGTTCGCCTTTTTCGCAATCCTTCTTCCTTGAGATTGTCACTGACAATATATGCTCGCAGTGTCGCTCAGGCTGCTTCCAGGGCAGGAGCACAGTCTAAATTACATAATAACTCATTGCTCTCAAAAGGGAATTTATCTTGGTCTCGTGACTATTTAAGTAGAACGTGTTGTTTGTGGCAGTTTATGACGTCCTCCTTGTACCGTACCATCAACGTCCGACAGGTATGCATCCTGTCTGACGTGTGCACACTGGTTTTCTGAGAACACCATTCAATCCCCACTCTAGGTTATTATATCAATTGTAGTCATTACCTTTCAGTCCTCATCATCACGCCAATTGGCTGCAACATTGCAGTGCGCAGTCGCCATCCGCACACTGCTTCCCACTGTCTTCTGGTATCTGGAAAACACGACAAAACCTGCCAGCAAAGTCAAGATTGCTCTGCATGTGGTCGAGTAATACAATCCGTACATCCGTCTCATGTCTGATTCGTAGTTTCATAATCGATCATGGGTCTGTCGTCGCCTTCGCCTTTGGGCTTTCCGAAGATCCACATGATGATGAACGCCATGTCCGAGTCAACATAAAGTTTAAGAACGGAACATGGGACAGCAAGTTCTGCCAGCTTAAGATGTGTAGCAACGGTGTCATCATTTTCAATTCATTCATCAATTGCAAGAAACTGGCTGTCAGTACTGCATCACCATTAGATGTCCTAATGGGGATATCAAACCCAGTTGACTACGATCAACGATTGGCGTCTATTATGTAACCCTAGACGGTCCTTCGGTCTTGGATTCTTTGCTATGCAGGTTAGGCAATACATCCCATAGCCAGAAGGCTGAAGGCTGAGAGGGAATTGTGACAGTCATTCGGGTTTCATTCTGTCTTTTCGACTGGATGGAGAACACTTACACCAATGCGTTGAACGCATCAAGTGATTTGTAGTTGTAAGTATGGTGATATGCAGCTTCGTACGGTATCTTGGCGCTGATCCAGT